AAAGTGTACTATTATATATCTTTGATAGTATCACGGTTTTTGTTGATATATAACGCGTTATAAGTATCTAATGGATATTGTGATATGATTAATTTGGAATTTATTATAGGTACCTATTATAGGTCAATTTTTTGTTTAATACCATAGATATGTATATAATATGTCTTATACTAGACTCACATACCGTCACCGCTCAGAATCGTTTTTCTTATACAATGATATTAGATCATTGAATTCAAATTTAATACCATCCATTATACAGTGACCCACTTGTAACCTACTGTACAGCAGAGCGACACCCACTTGCCCACCTTTTTTTTATTACCACTATAAAAACAACAACTTATGAGGAACATTGTATTATATTTTCAAGTTTTTTGGCAGAGTATAAAATATTTTATCGACCATAATTAAATAATAAACTAATAAAACTCGAATTTTTCTTATGCCTATAAATAAGAGTCGCAATATTAAATATTAAAATTGTATGGTGCATAGAAATTATTGGTAATATAAACATTCAGTGAACATTTCATCATATGTATTCTATTATTTTAGAGCTACACTCAAAAACAAAATTAATTTTTTTAAAAACTGGTTCTGCGTAAAAATCTCAGTTTTTCATTAATTTTTTGTTTGTTTGCGCATTAATTGTTTACTTTCTCTGGCCCACTCCCAACATAGACAATACCCATTTACGCAGAATCATTTTTTCTATGTTTTTAAGTAATATTAGAGTAAAATCACCCATTACAAAAAATATAGAGAATAATATTTTTGGGGGAATGACATACCTATCGGTTTGTCTAAATATTGTCTTAAAACAATTTAAACATACATTTCAATTTACAACATTTTTGTGTTTATTTTGAAAGTCAAATACAATGTCGAATAACGATAAAATATAAAATCGATATGTCATTCCCTCAAAAATACTATTCTCTATCTTTTTTGTAATAAGTGATTTTACTCTAAGATTACTTAAATACATAGAAAAATGATTCTGCGTTAATGCGTTTTGTCCATGCTGCTCGTGGGCCAGAGAGAGAAAACAAATAGTGTGCTGACATCCTCTGTCTCTTAATAATATGTCTTTACAATTTGCATAACGGTCATCTTCCCCACCCCTCGTATAAATTATTATAATTTTTTTACATTTCGCGTCACCCTATACCTACTACTATTGTCACGGTGACCGCGGTCCGTGAACCGTAGAAGACAAATTATCGTGTCTGGATGCATTTTACCGCCACGGCGTCACCGTCCGCAACCGCTGCAGTGGCCCGGCGTGTGTATTAACGCGGTTTCAACCACCTCCCGGTAGCTGGTATTTTCGGTTAATGTGATAACGCGAATCTATTGAACAACTACACGGTTCGGTACTTTGATAACGCGTAACGGTTTTAAATTATTATGCTAACTAAAATGCTTAATTATTATTAATTATTAGTCATTTGTTTTTTGTGTTGATATACTGATATGGTCTGAACGCCGATTCTCACGATTCGATTGTCAGACGAACATGCGTGAACAATTACAGTCGTGTTAATAAATCCCTATTGGTTATTATCATCAACATCATCATAATACATTTTTATTTACGTTATTTACCAGTCGCAAACGTGAACACCGCTTCAATTGTCCATTATCAAGTAAGTCTACACAACAGTCTATAGTCTACTCTCTATACTTACATTCCCGTAGCGTCTAGTAATTTTCGTTTGCCGTTTGCTGTTGCATACTTTTATTATTATGCCACGACGAGTGAACGTTTCATAGCAAACAATTTTTACTGTTATTAATTTATAATGTGTTAATATGTTTGTTGTAATGAAATAAACCTCGTCGACCGTTTCTTTAAAATTACCGAATTCTGTTACAAAACACAAAATTGTTTGAAATTCCAAGTAAAATGTAGGTACCGTTGTAACTTGATTGGGTACCTATATTTCAAACTTTATGTTTTTTTATTGTTATATACAATTCTACGCAAAACACAGCATTTGTGCTCAGGCATGTACCATCAACTCTGTATCATTATTCATTATAATATTCTATTGTGCTATCTACTACTGTTTTGTGTAGGTAGGTACTACACAACTATACAATAGTATACATTTAAGTAGGTATAGTATCAATGCTTTATGTTCCACTATAGCTGTGATATTCGCATCACTTGTATTATCATGTTATGTCCTAGGTTAAATATTAGTATTACAAAATCAATTATATTATAGGTCAGCGGTTCCCAAACTTTTTTAGCTCACGGCGCCCTTTTTGAACTAAACTTTTCTCAAGGCGCCCTTCCCAAGACATAGCATGAATTTATTTTTAGACCAGGTAAATTTCTGCGGCGACGCGGCGCACCAGGTGCACAGTTTGGGAACCGCTGTTATAGGTAATAATAATTTGATTGTTTAGTAGGTATCATTGTAATGGTGTATTATAGTGAGTTATTGCAACTAGTAATATAGTCATAGGCACAATTTGGACAACTGTTTTGGGGGGAGCTAAATTTACAAAATCAACACAGACCCGCAGGGGCTATACCCCCGAACCCACTCACCACTTATAATCATTTTCATTGCTGGATCATTATCTTCATTATTTTCAACAATTTTTATAGAGGAAATCTCAGATAGTTGAGAGTTTAAGGTATCAAAATTACTAAGTCTTTTATTTGTTTTTAAATTAAAAATGCTAAACATATTATTTCTTGATATTATTTAACTTCAAAAAACAACTGACATGTAGAAATATTGAAAAAAAAACACTTGACACACGAAGAAATAAAGTTGTTTTTGATAAATCAAACTATTAATTATTATACTATAAAGAATAAAACATTAGAATAAATTATAGCCGGTAAGTGTAACAAACAAATTCAGATTTACAGAATATTACCTACACGGTTTCTAAGTGGGTTTCTATTTTATTATTATACTTTATAGAATATAAAGTATTAGAGACTAGAGTTATGAGTAAGAAAGACAGAAAGGTTGCGTTCAGCGTTCCCTCAATTGCGTTAAGAAGTCATAATAAATTAATAACATAATGTCTTAATGACATGTCCGTCAATTCCATAATCAAAAAATAGATAATATGTAATAATAATATTTGTACCAATACTTCTATGAAGCAAATCACCTATACTTAAACTGTTAAAACTGTTAACAATGATGTATCATATCATTGATTTTAAATACTAATGTTGCTAACATTAATAACATAAATTGATTATATATTCTGTAAATCAATATTAATTATTACTTATTAGACAACATGCTTGAATACTGACTATCAAGTTGGCTAAGAAATCCCATCGTTAAATTTTTTTTTTATTTGATCATTTTTATATTAGGCACTGATTATGGAGAATGAATATATTTAAAAAATGATTGGGGCTTATTAAACTAGGGGGTGGGCCTAAGCCTATGATTATAGTCTATTAATAAGTTTACTGTAGATTATAATCTACTTTTTAAAATGCTTATAAAAGAAAATGTTTAGTACATTCCAACTGAAGAATCCATAATTTAAGTAGGCAAACAGTTAAAAAGGGGGTAAAAATAATGATTGAATAAATGTTTTTATTTTTTCAATCTATAAAATCATACTTAATTATAATTATTCTTTTATGTAGGTAAAATCACTGAATTGAAGACATTTGTATAATATTGTTTTGTGGAACACATACTATTCTTTTATTATTATTTATCAGTAGGCTTTTAGTAGACTGTATTGAGAGATAGCCATTCACAATTCATTATTTTTATTATTAGTAATAATATTTTATTAGATTTCTCTAACAGCAAACAAATATTTTCATTTTTTACTGTACCTATTTGAACACGAGCCTAAACCAATTAACAAAATATAAAATAGTAAAATATAAAATAATGGTAATTAGAACTGCCGCTATTAGGATTTTTATGAAAATTATAAATACAACATTGCAAGTAGTAAGTTATAAATTATTGCTCAAAAATATATTTTTCTAAAAATTCCGGTGCCTTGTTTGTCTACTTGGTAATTATGCCATTGCTATTTAAGAATATAAAATAACATATTCTGAACTTAAAACCTTTTTTATCATATAAATTCTGACTAAATGTAAATTTTCCTATTAAACTCCTTATACTATATTTAAGTTAAGAAACTTACTTAGAAGCTAACTTTAAAGGGGTTTTACTAAACAGAAGCCATGCAGATGGCATACATACAGACAATATTCAATTAATATCAAATAGAGACAAATTAATTAATTAATTAATGTATTGATGATAGTTTTAACCAAACAGTTAAAAAATAATATATTTTATTAGAGCTGTTAGCTTGACAATTTTCAACGACTGAAATTTTTCATTTGAAAATGTAAAGCTCTAGGTAAACCTAGATAGTTCAGATGTATGAAATAAAATTATTTAGGTACACCATACACGAATACCAGTAGAGGAAAAAAAAAATTACAAAATCCTATATAAGTATTTTTTAAATATTTTCAGTTATTAAACATTTTTATAAAATGTTATCATGATACTATTATTGTTATAAATTATAATATAAGTCAACAAATTTATTAATATATTGTTTAATTACTTTTATCAAATAATGATATTCATTGGCAGAAACATGCAGTTAAAACAATCTAAAAAAATATAATAATGTATAACTTTAAAAAAATTAGTGTATGTATTTTTATTTAAATATTAATTTACTATGGATATAACTAATTTATTATTAACTAAACAGTAGACTTATATATTATGTGTACCTACACATTTTTCAATAAACAATAAGTTATTGTTTTGGTAATAAGTACTTCCACATTGATATTATAGTGAAATATAATTATTTTAGATCAAAATTTACAATCTAATAATTTTTTAATAACAGCTTGACTAATTTAATTTTAAATTTAATATTAAATGATTGTATGTTTGTTAATACAATTAAAATAAGTCAAACTGTTCATTATGTTTTTAAAATTTTATTTCAGAATGCCACCAATCACTCGACATCAATTAAAAAAAACCGGTTTGAAAACTGAACCTTATTCGAAAGAGAACCGTCCATTAGATAAAAGAGCTGCTTTGTTAGATCTTGTAACAAATAATGTAACTGTAAGTAGTTTTTTATTTTGTTTTATGTCTTATTATTTATATATTTCAAAATCATAGAATAAAATGTGTATCTATTATAGTACCTAGTGATGTAAATTTTCATGAAAATTTTTTTTTGTGAAAATATTTAAAAAGTTGAACAATTTATAATTTATCATATGAATGTCTTAACAAATAAATCTTTTGATATTATATAGTTATAGGTACTGTTATAGTATATTTAACCTTCATAATTATTTTTAAATCTATATACTTTTATTACCATTTACCCATTTTAATATTATTTTGGTATTATTCTATTGAACATAATATAGTAAATACAAAATACAAATCATTAAATTTATTGATTGTTAGAAGGGAAAAGGGCGTTTTGGCACTTTTTTAAAATCAATGTTTTTGCATTTTGTTGTAAACGGCATGATTATACAACGATTAATCCAACCTAAACATCAATATAATTTGTTAATAGAATTGGATTGAATGATAAAATTGGGCGTAAATGTCAAATAAAAAACTAAAAGACTTAAACAGCATTCAAGGAAAACTGATACAACGTAAGCGTCATTGTTGACGGTTTTATCAATTTATCGTTTTAAATTGCTGTAACATATTATTACTTAAAAAGAAATAAGAAATTGCAATACATCTATATAATTTTAATGAAACAAACACTAAAGAATAAAACATTATAATAATAGAATGCTTAATATTTTACTTAACTGACGTTGGTACCAGAACTCAGTGCATTATATTATTCATTATTATAATTATCTTAGGTACAAGAACAATAATTTTCAAAAATAAATTGGAGCCCAGGTAAATATTTATTTTATGTATATTTATGTACATGCAATTTTCACTGGATGTTTATATTAGCAATTTCTATGCACCATACAATTTTCGAGTTTTATTAATATTTTTTTTTTAAATTATGGTCGTTTAAATATTTTATGCTCTGCCTAAAAACTTGGAAATGTAATATAATGAAAACATAAGTCGTTGTTAGTGGAAATAAAAAAAAAATGAATGTAAATTGTTAAATTATTTTAAGTTAGAAGTTAATAAAAATGTTCCTATTTATATCCAAGCTTTGAATATATAACACAAGATTCCCCTTAAGTTTTGCTACATTTAACATAAACAATAACCTAACCGAAAGTCAAATTAAATTTCTACGATTGTTTGAAGTTTCACTTTAGATATTCAACCTTAAATTAACAAATTCTCAATCAACGGTTTTCTTCTTTTGTGGTTATTGAATAACTTATGACTGTAGATACTTGCAATTTACACCAAATGTTTATTTTATGTTTTCCTATAGTGGAAAGGTGACAAGGTGACCATAGCGGGTAAAGTGGTCATGTTTTATTATTCTGTCATAAAGAAATAAACTGTTGGTTATATAACGTGGATTGATTCATTGTTATCATATTTATCAACTGATAAACTACTAATGATAAAAACATTTTCCGTTTAAGTTTAAAACTAATATTTCATTTTTTGCATGACAAATTAAATTTTTGGATGTTGTTGATTTAACTACTTATGTAAGTGTACCGAATAAATATTTATATTTTATAAACATAGTAATTAATTTATCAAAAATATTTTTTTTTAAAATCTACATAAGTTTATATGTACTATTGAATTGACTTAAGTTAAATAGTTAATATGATTACTATTTTTAAATAGTAAATTAAACACTGAAAAGTTCAAAGTTGTTACTATGGTGACAATTCATCTATTGGTCATAATTGTATATTATGTTCCTATAATAGAATTTATTTATTGACTTTAAAAAGCATATAAAGTTATGTATAATATTATTTTATAAAATTAGTTTGTAACTAAGAAGGTCCTCAGTCTGATAAATTAAAAAAAAATATTAATACGAAACTGAATTGAAATTACTTATTTATCTAAGAAATTTTGTTGTAAGAATATAATATAGGTTATATATAATAGTAATATTATGAAGTAATGAGTAATAATAATAGAAATTTTAAACCAGCAGCTAACGTGGACATTGACTAAGCATTTTGTCCACCTAGTTAATTTTGTAACTTTAAAAAAATCATATTAAAATCAATTATTAATAGAAAAAATAAATTACTTGCAACAATATATATTAAAATATGGTAAGAGTGGGATACTTTGCTACTCCAATTATATTTCTTTTTTAGTTTGAACCTATACTATAGCTTCAATAACAAAGATAAAAATTACCTGTTTGCGTTGTTTTATATGTATAGATGTGAGGTAAGAACAATTCAAAAAATCTGAATGTCGTACTAGTGACTTACTTATTCCCAAAAGTTTGGAGCAAAGTTAAAACACATTGCAGGTTACATTTGCATAATGATTCAAATTACCTTACTTTAATGCATATAATAACTATTGGTGTAATGTTTAGTGCTTGTGTCTTAACTTATTTGAACCTATACATAATATAATTTTTTTTTTATAGTTGATTAAAAGTCTTTTTTAATACATTTTAAATTAAATTTCAATCCCCTAGATTTTGGATAACTTTTCCGTTATGTGTTTTTGTGTTTTTGAAAACAATTTTTTTCATGACATACATCTTGGAGGCAAACTAATAGATTGATGTTCGTAATGTTTGAAAAAATTAGTAATGTTAATAAGAATAATATAAAAAAAACGACAATCTCTGATCTCAAAATCGTAATGTGCAACGATTGATATCAATAAATATTGTCTTTGGAGCAATGTTTAACCTCTGGAGTAAAGTATACTGTTCTTACGGTACCTATCTTTAGTAATACTATGTATAGTCTAATAGTCAGTTTCCTCTCAGAATGGGTTTTATAAACTATCTAATATTTTATTATTGAATTCAAATTTAACTGACACCTATCATTTATTAATAAATTATACAGCAGAGCTACTTCCCTGGTTTTTATTTTGTCATATATAATTTATTATTATTACAAAAAAAATTGAAAACATTTATATGCAAACCAAAAAGGTGGGCAAGTGGGTGTCGCTCTGCTGTACAGTAGGTTACAAGTGGGTCACTGTATAATGGATGGTATTAAATTTGAATTCAATGATATAATATCATTGTATAAGAAAAACGATTCTGAGCGGTGACGGTATGTGAGTCTGTGTATCAGACATATTATATACATATTTATGTTATTAAACAAAAAATTGACCTATAATAAATTCCAAACTAATCATATCACAATATCCTTTAGATACTTATAACGCGTTATACATCAAAAAAACCGTGATACTATCATAGATTATAGATATATAATAGTACACTTTAGAAGTTTCAAGTACCCACGAATAATATTATTCAATCACAACAAAATAACTAAAATCGTAATTCTTGGTTTAAATATGAAATTTTGTCTAAATTTGAAATTAAAATGTCTGTAAAAATAAGTGTGTTTATATATTTTTTAGATTTTTTGGTTACAGTATGAATTATTTAAGAGAATCTTTGTTTTAAATTTTCAACTCTTAGTTATAAAAACTGAACATTTTATAATTTTTTAATTCACACGATTGATAATTTTCGAGATTTTGATAAATTTTGTCAAAATTCCAACTTTAAATGCTTATAAAAAAAAATCGTGCCTATGTATTGTTAATATTTTTCATCTGATATTGTAACAATATATCAGGAGCCTTGTATTAAATTTTTACACTTTTTGGCCCAACAGATAAAACTTTATTGATATTTATAGAAAAAAAACTAAAAAATTGAAAGCTGTAAATGTCCATAAACAGCTCAAAAAGAGTCAAAATATTTTCAAAATTATATGGTGTATAGAAAATGCTAATTTAAACATTCAGTGAAATTTTCATGTATCTACAGTTATTTGTTTTTGAATTGCAACAAAATAAAGAAATCGCTACATGAGTAATCGAGTGAATATCCAATGTTGTAAAAATTTGAATTTCAAACGCTCATAAAAATTTAATTTGACTGTCCGGTAGAGATTTTTTTATTGATAAAGGTAGATAATCTTATAAGGAATCTTGTGTTTCATTTTCAAATCTTAGTTTTAAAAAGAAAAATTTTTACGAATTCTTAACTCAAAATAATTTGCTAATTTTCGTGATTTTTCCATATTTTGTCAATTTTTGAACTTTAAGTGCTTATAAAAAAAATTGTGACTAAGGATTTTTAATATTTTTCATCTGCCTTTGAAACAATATATTAGGAGCCTTCTATTAAATTTTCAAGCTTTCGCAACCAACAAATAAAATTTTATTGATATTTTTAGAAAAACAACTAAAAAAAAAATGGAAAATTAAAATGTCCCTAAACAGTTCAAAATAAATCAAAATATTTTGAAAATGTTATCGTGTATAGAAAATGCAAATATAAACAACCAGTGAAAATTTCATGTATATACGTTCATTTGTTTTAGAGTTACACCAATAACCAAAATCGATTTTTTGGAAAACCAATTTTGCGTAAAAATTCCCGTTTTTCCTTAATTTTTATGTTGTTTTTCCCGGCGCTTGTAAAAACTACTGCGAAATTTATACTTTTGACCCCCTAAAGTACCAACTAGATTCACTTTCCTATCAGAAAAGCTACTGATGAAGAAAATCCAAGCATTTTTACTGTCCTAAAACGTGATGACAGACACAAAAATATAAAAATATAAAAATATAAAAACATACATCATTGTAAAACCAATACATTCATCGCTCCGCTCAGAATCTAAAACAAATATATTAGTTATTTAATAATTTTTTCATATAGTTTGCCTATTTTAATGTACTTCTAAATTTATTTCACATTGACGTTACTGCTTGGTAACTGCTCAATTATAATTCAGCTCATATGTTTATTGTAACTATTATTACAGGTTGTATATATTCAAATAAATGTTAAAAAAAAACTTCTAAATTTGTCATTATAAGATTGAATTAATATTTTTCCAGGGTGTTAAAACAAGTTCTCAAACGACTAAACCATTAGAAGTTGTAAAAAATGATGATTCTACTAAGACAGAAAATACATGTAAGATTACCCAACCAAAAAAAGAAATTTCTCAACCTTTTGTTGCTAAAAAACCAGAGACCAGATCAAGTGCAAAAGAGTTAGTATGATTTTATTTATGAATTTATTTGTAATTAATTAACAAATAAATGATAATTTTTTTTATATATATTAAAACAATGCAAAAACATTTGAATTATATTCATAATTAAAATGTGTTCATTATTTAAATTTCAGAGCTGCACGTTTATCTTTAAATAGTTCAGATGATAGTAATTTATACAAATCAACTCTTGAAGAAACAGCAGTTTCGAGAAATTCTGCAAAATCTGATGAACTGTATACAACTGCTGTTGATAGCACACACCGTTCCTCTCTTGAAAACAACCAATCAGATTTGTACCACTCTGCTGCACAAGAATTGTATGATAATTATTAATTACATTACATTTTTTATCTTCTAATAATATTACATGGTTCTTGTTAATTTATAGGAGTGTCAACAGTAATGCAGAAGAAATATTTGAAATAGATCAGTCCAGTTGGAATAATTTCATGTATGTGGGTTGTTATGCAAGAGATATTATAAAATACCTTAAACAAAGAGAAGTAAATACAATTTTCATAGATATTTATGAATCGCACAACAATTGCACAATGTATTAATTCATTATTTCTTAGGATAACTTTACTGTTACTGATTATATTAATAAACAACCTGAATTAACTGCAAAACATCGAGCAATTGTTGTTAACTGGTTAGTGAGCTTACAAGAAATGTATGGGTTAAATCACGAAGTATTATATATGGCTGTCAAACTAATTGATTTGTATTTAATGAACAATGATACGTTACAAAATAGATTTCAACTTTTAGCGTCTGGAGCATTATTATTAGCTACTAAAGTTGATGTAAGTAAAAATAACTTTCTAATATTTAGGTATTATTTAATTAAAAATATTTCACTTTGTTTTTGAATAGGAGAGAGGGGAGCCAGGTTTCCCTTACGACCTAGTCAAACATAGCAAGTATATTTATACAGAAGATGAATTGTTTGTTACCGAAAGAGAATTATTCAGAGCTTTAAAGTATGAAATCAATGTTCCTCTGTCTTATGTGTTTTTAAGGCGCTATGCCCGTGTAAGTGAATTGTTTATCGCTAATTACTACTGATGTTTTAATTTTCACTTTTATTTTTAGTGCATGAAATGCCAAATGATTTTATTAACATTAGCAAGATATATATTGGAATGCAGTTTGTTAGATTATAAATTTGTGACTTTAAAAGATTCACAGAAAGCCGCAGCATCCTTATATTTGGCATTTAAAATGTGTAATAAAGTGATAGAAGCAAAAGAATTTTTCAAATATACAGGTAATATTTATATTTTATTGAGAAAGCATTGTTGAACAGATTAATCTAGTAATATTTGAAATTCTGAACCAATATAATAATCTATGCAATTTAATGATTTTAATTTTGTATACTTTCTTTTATCAAGAATAGAATTAATCTTGTTTTATATATTTATATAACGCAAATAATAAGTAAATGTATATTTGTGTATTAATATTTTATATTCAGTTTACAATAAAAAAATCATAATACAATAAGTAACTTATAATAAAAGTTAGCCTATAGTGGTGACAAAGAGGTAATTAGATAAAACCCTAAATATACCTTACTAATTGATTGTATTATTGTATCAAAATTATTTTGACGTTGAATCCTATTGCATTAATTAATTGTTCATTTTAAGATTATCGAGTAACAGAAATTAAAGAAACAGTAATCGAATTAAACAACATGTTGCATACTCAAAGTTCAAATCTGTCTGCTGTTAAACAAAAATATTCGCATGAGTAAATATTATTAAAAATCGATTTAAGAAAATCGTAGAAAATTTTATATTGAAATTAATATATTTTATCTTTTGTTTCAGGACTTTTTTCAAAGTTGCTAATAAGTCATTATTAAGCAATTCCAAACTTATTTTTGACTAAACCAGGAATATTCAGCGTATTTGGAAATAAAATGCATTTTTGTTTAGTGATCTACTGATATTATCATTGGTTTTTTTTTTACTTTATTTTTCTAATAAGGTTTTTTTAGACGGGTTCACTTATTCAACAAATTACACATATTATATAAAACGTACAATGTATATTATCCATTTAAAATTGTTTTGTAGTTAATCACTTTAGTAATTACTTAAACATTGAAACTATCGTTAATTTATATTTATAATTTAGTGTCTTAAAATGTTAGAACGTACTTCAATATGTACTTCTATATTATACGTATTACATTTTTTTCTTTTATATCAGACTGTTGTGCTGATTAATAATAATTGTTTTATTTTTATCATATTGATAATGTTAAGAGGCTGATGTTAACGAAATTAACTATAATTTGTATTATTGCCTTCCATCCCACTCCAAAGTTTTAGAAAATATTAAGAAAATTACATGTAATGATAGGTTTTTTAGATGTATTTTTTTTTTTTTCAATGTATTGTAAAGAACTATATTTTATAAAACTGGTTGTATCAAATTGAATTCTTTTTTTCAATGTTATGTTTTTGGGTATTATCTAACTTATCTTGTATGTTGTTAAACTTAATTTTAATAATAAAAAATGAAGACAGTTATATAAGTTTCAATTTATTTTAGTTACCTATATGTAATTTGGGAGCGGATTTGTATTGAAACAATTAGTATTTATTAGAATGATATCTAAATCTGATAAGAAATGTGCAAAATTTAAATAAATCTTGTTAAAATAATACCAAATTTATTTTATGTATTTTTAACACTTAGTTTTTTTTTTTTGCATATTAGATATTTAAAAGTCAATATTTTTGTTTTCACATGCTCTTATTCCCTGCTATAAAAATTTTGTCAACTTCACAGGGTAATGTGTACTATACTATTAAGTAGACTTTATCTACAGCAGGGGACTACAACTCATGATCTTAAAGTGAATTATGAGTATATAAAATATTAATATCAAAATATACTCATAATTCACTTAAAATAAATATTCTAATAAACCAACGAGAGAATAACAGATAATGTTCAAACAAATTTGATGACTTATAACAATTTATATAATTCACTCTAATATTTAATCCAAAAACACAAAATTGGTACTGCTAGACATATATTTTGGTAATTATATGTTAGTAAGACATAGACAACACATGCAGATACAATGTTCTCTTAATTGAATAAAAAAATAAAATACATATTTTAATTATTATTTTAACCTACTTCTGTTAAAATCAATTATTACAGCTCAAAAATGTTTATTGTTTTCATAAATTAGTATTAAAAAATAATATTAATAATTACAAACAATATTTAAGGTCATCTATGAACCAAGAAAGCGCTCCGTGTACTTTAGTATAGTAACTCAAAAATTGACAATTTTGGGTTATACATATTTTCTTACGGTTAAAATAGCATTCTTCACAATACACTAGTAATGTATGTCATACTGGTAAAATTGAATGTGTTTAACTGTGTATATAATCGCTTATATAATTAATGGAAATTAAAAAATGTAATAGTGCAATAATCATAAATGCAATATTCATGCATTAGTGCATTATTTTGAATTATTATACTGTATAAACGAAAAATGCATATTAAAAAAGTCGCTCTGCTGTACAGTAGGTTACAAGTGGGTCACTGTATAATGGATGGTATTAAATTTGAATTCAATGATATTATAATATCATTGTATAAGAAAACTATTCTGAGCGGAGACGGTATGTCAGTCTAGGTATAAGACATATTATTATATACTTATCCATAGTATTAAAAAAAAATTGACTTATAATAGGTACCTATAATAAATTCCAAATTAATCATATCATAATATCCATTAGGTACTTATAACGCTTTATACATCAACAACAAACCCTGATACTATCATAGATATATAATAGTATATTTTAGATGTTTCAAGTACCCACGAATAATCAAAGCTGGGCACTAACTAGTTAGTTAGTTAAAGTTAAGTTAGAAACTAGAAAGTTACATTTTTAACCAATAAATAAAATTTTCTTGATATTTATTTATTGTAAAATCAATACATTCATTGTTCCACTCAGAATCTAAAAAATGGAAAATGAAAATGTCCCTAAGCAGTTCAAAACAAGTAAAAATATTTTGAATATCTTATCAAGTATAAGAATTGATAAATAAACATTCAGTGAAATTTTCATGTATTTACCATTATTCGTTTTTGAATTACAACAAAATAAAAAAATCGCTACATGAGAATTCAAGTGAATATCAAATATTGTAAAGATATGGAATTCAAACGCTCATAAAAATTTAATTTGATTTGCATGAATACATTTTTTTTGTTGATAAAGATAGACAAACTTATGAATAATCTTGAATTACATTTTCAAATCTCAGATTTAAAAAGAAAAATTTTTATGAATTTCTAACTCAAAATAATTTGCAAATTTTCGTTATTTTTACGTATTTTGTCAATATTTGAACTTTAAATGCTTATAAAAAAAATTGTGACTATTAATTTTGTGGTATCGTCCCTTATCGGATAATACGCGGTAAACCAACTTTATACCTTGGCTAATGACTGTCTCTAGAATAAATTCAGATTAGCACTGTTAACCTTTGAGGTACGATGGTATGCGTTTTGTCAGTTCTTCGTCTGTTTCCTAAATTGGAATGACTATTAGGACGCCACAACCAGAGCACTTTTCAGTTTGTAATAAATCTCATTGACTATAGGTGTGTGGGTCTGAGCACTGTTCCAATATTTAAGGTAAGAACGAAGAAGACTTTGAAGTTTGAAATAATACTCAACTCGGGTTTTTAGGTCGGAAACACTTATATTATATTAAAACAGACATAAATAAAACACTCTTCAGATTGCCTAGTCCGTACTACGATCGACGTTTCACACGTACAACCGTCGTACCTACGTCCTCGCCGAATCACTCAGCGACAAGGGACTCTCCGTGTCTGCGCGTACGGCGGTGTATATATTAAAATCGTATTGCTTCACTGACCTATGTCAATAGTTTACAATATTTAAAATGTTCCCACCTCTATTACATATAGGTATTAATAAGGTATTATATTAAATAATAATGTCTTGACGACTGTCTACAATGTACTACAATTTTTAATTTTTTTCATCTGTCTTAGAAACAATATACTAGGATAATTCTCTATTAAATGTCCAAGCTTTTTTAACCAACAAAGAAAATTTTATTGATATTTATAGAAAAAAAAAAAACTAAAAAAAACGGAAACTGAAAATGTCCGCAAAGAGCTCCAAATAAGTCAAAATATTTGGAAAATTTTATGGTGTATAAAAAATGCTAATATAAACATTCAGTCAACATTTAATGTATGATGTATCTACGGTCATTTGTTTAAGAATTGCACCCAAAACAAAATCTATTTTTTCGAAAACAGATTTGTGTAAAAATTCCCTTTTTTCCTTAATTTTTCTTTTGTTTTTCACGGCGCTTTTGAATACTACTGGACAAGTTTTACTTTTGACCCCCCAAAGTACCAACTAGATTCACTTTCTAACAGAAATAATACTGTTGTAGAAAATCCAAGTACTTTAACTGTCCTAAAAGGTGATTACAAACACACAAAAAAAAAAACACACATTGTAAAATCAATACATTTATCGTTCCACTCAGAATCTAAAATACCGTTGCATTAATTTATATTTTCAAAATTTCACAATTATAACATAAGTACCTAGTTGCATTAAAGAATTATAAATAGATCATGATAACAATATTGTATTATCTTAACTACATATAACAGATTTTGTAAAGTGAAGGCATTTTTACACTTTTTACTTAACCTCGTTACTTTTTTATTCAATAATTTAAATATTACATAGAATTAGTTTTAAATAATCATAATGGCATTTAAATCTCGTATATTTACAAATGCTTATTTTGGCACAAACAGTAATACATACGTTAAGTAAAAGTTTACAAGATGATAAACTTCCGTCAAAAAACAAAAAAATTCTTCTAGCAACACAAAATGCAAAAAAGCTATAAAAAATTATTTTAAGGTTTTAAAATTGTTATTTAATTACTAATTTCACTAAAGTATAATGAGTATAACATATCATACTTGTAAACATTACAAAAAATAAAAATCCACCCTGTTGCACTGGGATAGAATAAAAGCTGACCGCTTAAGGACAGATATAATGTTCTTAACTAAAAGTTTAATAATAGGTCAACACACTCTAATATCAAAACTCATAGCACACTACTGTAACTAGTGAACGAATATTTGCTATGTCGCTCGTATGTAAAACAGATAACAAAAGGATAAATAAAATAAAATCGTTTAAAATGTAATTTAAGAAATAAATTTATATTTTCAATATGCTAAACTATTTTTTAGAAAATAAAATTTCTCAGACTCATTCAATTTATGTTTAATCATTAAACCGAATTAAAGATATTTGTTTATCGATATCACTATCAAGCTAGTTGTCCAAATTACTCTATAATAATAGGGATAAATATCTAACCTTAGATTATCAAAAATAGTCCGTAGGATTAAAACAAATAAAGTAAAATAGATACTTGGTGTGAACTGTGAAGATAATTTTTAAGACAATTAGGCTAATATTAATTATTATTTCTTTTTCTTAAGGGGTATACATACCGACCGTTTCTAAGGAGTTCAGGATAGGCAATATTCTAATTGTGTGCATGCTGGTCGTGTAAATGTGTCATGTGTGCAATGTGCATAGTAAGTGATTATTAGTGTGATTGACTGTGTATAAAATAAATAGTGGAGGACAACCGCACGTGCATGCACATGTCAGTAAAGGAACATTTTACACTCTAATAGTCTAATTACAAATGTGAACTTTAGTGAAACACTGAAACTTAGTTTCGTATTTCCAATAATGTAGCTAACTAAGTGACATTACAGTATGAACACCTATTATACACATTGAAGAGAAAAGT